AAGAAGAGACAATTTGTCTTTTTCATTTAACATCGTTCTTTCATTATATTTTATATAAATTTAAATGCTGGACAAATTTTATAAATATACAGATATTTAGCTGAGGAAGATGACTTGAGGAAATTATTCATATTGTAGGGAAGTTATAACTCTGAGTAAGTAATTAAAATCCCTCCCAACATTTATATATATACAAAGATACTCATAAAAATGAGAAACAGCAAGACGTCGAAACAACAAAACAAGCATTATTTATTATTTGGTTGTATGTGGTGTTGGAAATGCAAGTGACAGTAATCCTGAGTAAAATTGTTAGTTTGGGGTCAAAAGTAGATCAAATATAAATCAGAATACAACAGAATTAGAAGATAAAGAATAAGTAAAGTGTATACAGTCTTTCTTGTAAGCTTTTTATACATGTGTGTAATGAGTGTCAAGATAATTTAGTAAAAAATAAAAGAAGTGTCCGAGGTTTTCTTAACTCAATTTTTTTTGAGTGCTAAGACATAAATGTTACTATTATGGCTTGAAAAAGAAAATGAGTCGAAATGTTTGTTGACACACATGTTGATGGTCTGTCCATGTTGGCTGCCTGTCTTATAATGAGAATGTCATGTGTTTGTATGTAGAGGAGAAAAGTGGGGTCAATTCTAATTGGCTTAGAATGAGCAAATTAATAATAATTATAATTGTTATAATTATTTTATTATAATTACTTTTTTTGACGCTATAATTAATTTTTATTCATTTATTTTTTTATGGGCATGACACTGTGATGGTATAATTCATTTTTTTATTTATGTATTTCGTTATGAACATGACAATATAAAAAAAAATGGCAGCAAGCTCCACTGATTCATATTGCTATATAAGTTAATTTATTTACTCTGAATTCTTACATTTCAATGTGTGTGAGAGAGAGAAAGAGAGAGAGAGAGAAATTTGTTTAGAATAAGAAATAAAAGCCTGTTCAATGATTATAGATCTTCACAAATCCATGCCAAATCAAAACTAAATTTTGTAAATCTGAATTATGCAATACTTCATTACTAAAATTCGTTTTCATTAAAAATGGATGTAAAAGTTCATTTGAAAATCTTACCATAATATGTTGGATTCTTTCTGACTCTTGTATAAAGAAAAGTATGTTTAATCCATTCAACAGCCACACTGATGTCATTGATTGTGTTGAGGAAAATCTCGGCGTTTAAATGTTCAATCAAATTCTTATGAAGACTGAGTTAAAAAAGAAAAAGAAAATCACTTAAGAAGCATCAGTAAATCTCCTGCTGTAAATGGGGAATAAAGAATTGTGAGAATTTGCAATAATCAAAGAACACGCAAATCATACAAATTACGGAATTATGAATTTGATCATAATTTATGAGAATAACGCTTGGTAAACTTAATCTTGAAAAGAATTTTCAAGCTTATAAAATAAAGAAGAAAATTGAAAATGTGCTAGCATTATAGTTTGTTGTCCATATTAAATTAACTATTACAAGTCACTTGTTAAAATTTCTGGCTTACAAGATGCATTTTTTTCCCTGAAAAATACGTGTGTGTCTTCTAAGACAAATGTAAGTCAACGCCCAGGCTCAAGTAAGCTTAGATGGTCACCTAATTGGCTTGACTGATAGAGATGAGGATTTGTATATTGAATCATTACACTATAATGTTACCTATCTAATTCAGCCTTTTATATGATGTAACCTCAGTACTTAGTTGTTACAAGTACTATAAACCTTCCTGAAGCCAAGCCACAATCTTAAACATGCTCTGTTTACTAGCAGCGACAAGAGCCTTTCTGTTCTTGACTAGTATGTCATTGCCATACAAACAAAATCAAATGAGTGAATAATGTAAACCATACATGGCGCCGGTATGTGAGGGACTCATGGTGAATGTGTTGCTGTATGAGAATGACTATTTTTTTTCTTAGAAATTTCTTTCCAATATTAGGATGCATCTTCCAAGCTGTAACGTCTTGGTAATAATTCAAAGGATATTTTATAAAAATAAAAATTAAATGAAATTTTAAGTATCAGTAAACCTAAAGTTTCTGTTGCTCCTAATGGAATCAGTGTATGTATTAATTCAACCTACAACATTTTCCCAAATTAAAAAAATACATAATGAAGAAATTGAAATGAATGAAGATTTGTTTTGCAAGAAAAGTATAGCAATTAACTTTCTTTGTAGCCAGAAATAAAACTATTTAGTGATCTGTTCTGAAAAGTTATTTCTGATAAAATCAATGAAATCCTGGTTGTTATCACATTAGAAGACATATAATATTTTATTTGGTGAATTATTTGATCCATATTCACTTTTATTATTATGATCATTATATTTCATTTCATGCTTTCTCTAGCATTTCTCAAGTGTCATTTGAAAATTTTTATGACTTATGATTTTGTGAATCTTTATCACTTGATTAGAGGGGAAGTAGACAGTAAAATTTATTTACTGAAGCCGTATATGCTTCAAAAACAGTGAAGAACAAACCAACTGAAACATGATTAAAAAAAATGTAAAGTTGAGGATGGGATTTTTATCCCAGTAATTCATACTAATCTGTATAAACTGATGTTATTTTTATATTCTAGTGCAGGAGGCATTGAATAATATATAAATATTAGAGGAGAATTTTTAATTAACCCGTAAAATACTTATATATTAAGATGTATTTCAGTTGAGAAATATGCCGTAAGCATGTTCAAGGAAGTACAAAAACATAATCTGAAATATAAAGGCAGGACAATGAAAATAAAGCATAACAAAATAGACCGTGTTTTAGTACCACTGAAGTGTGTACTCTGTATGCTTGTGTGTGACAAAAGTAGAAAGAAAGCAAGTCAAGGAAATTAGTTCCTATGTTAATTCTGATCATATCATATTTCTTGAGTTCAGCCAGATTGATATGCTTTGCATCTTCAGTTGGACGAAACCAACAAGCATCCTTTACGATGCTCCTATTCACTTCTATTGCTACTCCTATGGCCACAGAACTTGTGTCTGGCCAAACCTTCATCTGACTACAATCCACACACCAGTCTCCTCTCACAGGAGCCATTTCACATACTTTGGCCACTGTTTCCATTAGCATGCAGCAGAAGGAGACATGCTTGACTTCATCATCCCATCCATTGGTTACTGCAGTCGCCTGCCGCTTTATGAATGCAGTTGCCACTCTGAGCCATCTACACACAGGGAAATGACCCACAAGTTTCCCGCATAGGGAAAAGATGCTCCAATAGGGGACGATCTGTGGAACATCTGGGACTTCACCTCCCTGTTTCCATCAAAGGATGCGTCCTCTCCCCCAGACCTGCAGGTCCAGGACTTTGGCTCTGTATTCCAATCACTCTGGATTCTTACAGATGAGATCATAATCAGATAATTTCTGCCGCACGTGCACTGCAAAAACCAGTTTTGCACTGATGAAAATGTTGTCGATATATGTTAACGTGGCACTCTTAATCACCTGATCTTGATTCATTACAGTGTTAATGACAGCTCTCATAATGAGCAGTGCCACATTTAGTCCAAAACCCAATTGTGTAAGGCAAAATCATTGACCTTTGAAAACTACAGTTTCAAAGGGCCATAATGTCTTATCAACATAGATTTGCAAGTAGGCCTTTCTTAGGTCCAAGAGCGATACATTGTCATCACCATTCTCTAAGTTTCTGTGAGGACATGTCCACATTAGCAGTGAATGCCTCCACAAATTAGTTCAATTCATGATAGTCAAGCACCGGCCAGACCTTCTGCTTGTGCTCTTGCCCGATCGCCATTAAAGGAATCAAACCCTTGGGTGGACCAAGCTCTTTTTTCGACATACGGCAATAGCCATCCATTATGATGCCACAATAAGAGTTCTTTCTCATACACATCCCAAGCATGGTCAGGCACTGTATATTCTGGCACTTTATTTTTAATGCACCAGGTGACCACTCCCCCATTTCCACGGGGCTGTCCATGCATTATTATTTTTGTCAAATATCATGCTGAAGTCAGGCTTGTTGATAGAAATGGCGGTGCGCCAGTTTAGCTTTCCATCAGGAAAGTGCCCTTCACCCGATCTGGTTAGGTGCACACCTCCAAGCTCCTTGATTGCGTCAATCCCAAGAATAAGATCATATCCCAACAATCATCTATCTACAATCAGGGACTCAATAGTCACAATTTGATTTTGCCATACCCTCGGGACTTCAAGGTTCTCCCATCAACTGCTAATACTTCTACATCCTTCTGCCTCTAAAGACGACATACAGCTTTGCTGGTGACAGCATCTGTGAGAACCCAGAGTCCACCAGGGCAGCACACTTTTTTCCATCAACAAATAACTTGATAGAAGGCAATTCCTGTTTCTGTAATTGCTTGAGAAGAAGACTGGCACTGATGCCCACTTCTCTCAGGCATTTCCCTGATATGTAATCTTTCGGATTACACAAGCCATTAACAAAGATGACAATTTCAATAAATCAAACAACAACAGATGAAACAATGATGATAGTCCGCCCTTGCAGCATAAAAATTGCAAGTAATGACAAACCCGTATATACAAGACGCGGAAGCAAAAATCACATCACAGCTCGTGAAATCACATATCACCACGCGAGAGTGAAAAACGAGAAGTAATAAGTATGGGAAGCCGTTGGTATAAACCAGTGTCTTCTGTTATAAATTAGAGGCATTTAAAGATATTTGTGGAGATTTCATAGTTTATTTTGTTCAGGTTAGGTTTCAACTGTTTTATATATAAAGCTTCAAGAATTTTTAATTTTTGTTTATTGTTTTCATGTTTAAGTATAGTTGTGTTTTCAACAAGAATTTTCTGGAATTGTGTATGCAGCCAGGCATGCTGTTTTAAATGCCTAAAAATGTTAGAGTTATCATTTAAATGTAGAGTCAAGTGCCGTGAAAGCGAGTTTGTGGTGTGACCAACATAAATATTATATGCCTGTGTGTAGTGGGGAGGGGGGATTACTTACCTGCTTTCAATCAACTGCTTTCCATCCAAAAGAATTTCATATTTTTGCTGAAGTATAAGAAGGATATTTTTATAATATACTTAGGCAATATGTAAGAGCAAAGATTTTCATCTTACACTTTGACCATCCAAAATTTTAATTCAGCTGAGTTGCAATGATAACCTACAATAAAAAGATGTCCTTGTTCTGCTTATAATCTGGTTTCTGGCATATCTCATTCATTGGGGTGAGGAGTAGTTATTAAAAATTCAGTGAGTTTTGTTGTATTTTCTGTCTGAATTTCTGCAATAAAGAGTTACCATTATTTACATTCAGATTCTGAATGGTGTTCTGCTGACCTTTTCTGAATGTTATTTTTTCTTAATATATGTATTTTTTAGGGTTAAAAACAAACTTTCATGTTTCTAGCTCTTTCTTTTTTTAAAACCTTTTTTCCTTCGAGATTGATTTGATCATTGGCAAATCAAAAATTCAAAGGTTTTTCGAAACGAATATAGTTACCTATATATATATATATATATATATATAAAATAATCGACTCTCCCATCGAGATTCGATGTATGAGGGTCAAGCAGATCAGTTTCCAGGAAATTGACAGCCCAACACCGGCACATGAGATTTGATTATAGTGGTGAAGGCCTCGTGCAGGACCATCCACACTTTTTGAAGGGACGAATACAGAGACCTGGTGCACCGAATGCCACAAGATTCCCAAATGACCTTCCGCAGGTTTTGAATTCAGAGTTGTTCTTCTCCTAGACCAGTTGCCATCCAAGGCTATAGAACCCAGTCTGTCCTGCTATTTTACCCATAGCTGGAGAGAGAGGAAGAGGATTCATACCTTTCCCAAGGGTATTAGCACGTAAGTGAATGTAATGGATTCGACTGGAATTCGAACTCGGCTCTGCGATTCCTCAATCCAAGCCGCTATCCATTACTCCACCGTGCCTCCTATATATATATATGATTAAATGAATTACAGACATTATGTCTGCTTATTTTTAATAAAATCCGTTCATACTCACGGATAACTTTGAAAATCGTTTTTATTTTCCATGTCTATAAACAGAACAGTTTTTCATGCTTTAATGCATGCATGACAACACAGAAGAAAAAATTCCATAGTGGATAATTTTTTCATGTTCTAATGAATACTAAGCATGACTGTCAACCATTGGATTTGAAAGCAAAAAGAAAAATTACAGTAATAGATATCAAAAAATAGTTTTGTATTACTACTTGCACCCATGGGCAACACACAGTTTTGTATTACTACATACACCCCTGAAGATGATCTTGGAGGAAGACTGAATAGTACTTAGAAAATGGAAAATAAAAATGATTTTCACAGTTATAGCACATTTCTCACATTATTTAATTGCAATACATGGAAAGTTATCCATGAATATGAATGGATTTATTAAAAATAAGCAGACATAATGTCTAATTTATTTAATCAGACATGCCTAAAAGAGAATTTGCTGCCTAAATACACACACACACACACACACATATATATATATATATATATATATATATATATAGATAGATAGATAGATTGATAGATAGATAGATATTTGATGATCCATACATCGTTTGACAGTGCCCTGTCAAAGTAGTTAATTATTACATTTACCCAGTACAAAGGGAGGTAATTGTAATATCATAAAATTTCAGATAAAATTTTTCTTACCTTCATATTCATCTTTGTCATAATTACAGCTGTACCGGAAGTGTCAAACTGTAAAGAATAAAGAATTGAAAGACATTATATTGACATAAAAACTAAAATCCTAAACATTCCTTGATATATTTTTGGCATTAAACAGACACTGATAGCTGTACTTACCTGTGGTCGTCCAGCTCGTCCAATCATTTGTAATATTTGAGATTCAGAATATTCTGTATGATTTCCCAATACATAATGTTGTGTAGACATAATAATCACTAAATGAGCTGGAAGGTTTACTCCCATAGCAAGAGTTGTAGTAGCCACTGAAGTATAAGAGACCAAATATAGCAAGTTACATTATGAGTAGTAGTAGTAGTATTAGCAGTTGTATTATAAGTGGTAGGTCAAATATTATCCTCACTATTACTACTACAATACAATATCTATCCATTCCTCTGTTTACTACTAATAATAATTCTTATAGTAATGTAATAATAATAACAATAATAATAATAACAATAATGCAACATTTAGAGAAGAGAGCAATTTAAGAAAAGAAAAAGAAAAGACAGTGTTTGGCAATATTTTGACAATATGACTTTCTTCTTCAAGCTTGTTTGAAAATGCACACAATTATAAAAATATTAAAAAAATACAAGTCTTTGTACAAATGCGACTTGTCTTGAGAAAACTGGTTGTACTGGTAATTGAAGCAATAAAACAAATGTAACATAACTGCCATAAATGGAATGCAATGGAAACATTAGTAACATGTTTGGGATCTTGTTCGTCTTGAAATTTTCCTGTTATTTTATTAGTTAATAAGAGCAATTAATCAAACAGTTTAGTATAACTCCTATGGAACTCTTCATTCATTTTACTCATTCCCCACCCCCACCCCACTGTGGAGTGGGATGTTATTAATTTGCATATGTTATTATCTTCATGTGTTTTAAGAGTTGAAATGTCAGTTGATTCTGAAGCTACCAGAATATCCAGAATCTTTTTCTTTTCTTAAATCATGCTTTTCTGTAAGTGTCACAAAATATTGGAAGAGAAATATCAATCATTTTGTTTGTTAATAATAATAATATTAATGTCCTTTGGAAAATGGTGATCCAGACTCACATAGAGAAAGAAAGCCATCAAACCTAAGACTGAAAAGTACATATTCATCAACAATATTAACAATGTTCAATAAGATTAAATGATCAACAACAGCAAGACTATCCAAAAGAAAAATGCCTCTGAAGAGAAATTGTCCAAGTACAAGAGAATGAGATCAACAGGATGTTGATTATGAAGACCAAAAGTTAGAGAAAATTTCTCTAAAGTTACCAAATCAAGCATACTCCTATTGTGTTTAGTATTAATTTCAGTATTAATTGTTAATACTTTTCTGATATATTTCTGTATTAAAAGAAAAACATCTTTCATTATAACTGTAAAAATTCAAAAAAGCTATATTTAACTTTGCACAGATTTAAGTCAATTTTTCTTTGAATAATAGATAAAAAAACAGAGAAGGTTGTGATTGGTTTTCTTCAATTTATAAGAAATTATAGCATAAAAAGGTAAACAATATTTTGTGTAGATCCTTGTAAGTTGTCTTTGGAACAAGAGACAAACTTTTGACAAACAATGCTTTAAACAATGCTGAGATGGAACTAAAGCAAGTAAATTTTCTGCTGAAAGATACAGTAAGATTTACATATATTTACTTAGTGAAAAGTTCACTAATTCCACAGGTGCTTTTTTCTGGTTTAAATATAATTACTTTTGCATAAATGTTCATTATTTTTGTCTAATTAATAAATCATTAAAATAAATCAAAGAAGAATGTAAGTGTACTTGTTCTTAAATAGGTAAACTAAAAATACAGTGGAATATTCTGCCAGGATAACAGAAGAAAAAAATAAAAATAAAAACAGAAAAGGATTCCTAGTACTAGAATCCATGATTAAGTCAATACTAACCAAGATGATAAGAAGAAAGCAATAGAACCAAATAAGATTGTAATAGAGATACTGAAATATTTAAATGATTTGAAGATTGGTAAATTTAATGAAATGATAAATGAAATATATGACAATGTTGAAATTCTGGAAGACTTCAGTAGATCAATCTTTATAGTGATGCCAAAGGAACCCGATTCAAATGAATGTAAATATCAGAGTAATGGATGACAGAACAAGGAACATAAAGATGAAGAAAGATGGTATTTAGATAAAGGAAAGGAAGTTGTGGTGAGCTATGATCAGCCATGTCTTGAAAGGATATAGTATATAAAAAACACTAAGAAGAGATGGCAAGCAAGTACACCTGACTGTCAGAGTCTTTTTATCATAGTGTGTGTGTGTGTGTGTGTGTGTGTGTGTGTGTGTGTGTGTGTGTGTGTGTGTGTGTGTGTGTGTGTGTGTGTTTGAATTCTCAAATAGGTATGCTTTAAATAAGTACTGACTTGAAATTATGAAATATCTTAAAAATGCATTTAATTTTAAATACACAAATTTTAGCTTTGATCAACGTTGGTGAAGTAGACAATAATTAAAGAAGCCTGATATTTGAAGGAGAGAATACAAAACATGAGAAATAAGAACTTACAAAGAACAAGTAAATTTCCAGTTTCAAATAACTGGGAAATGCATTTACGATCTTGTAAATCCATTCCAGCATGATGGCAGCCAACACCTCGAATTACAAAATCTGAAATGGAAATAGCAACAAAATCAGATGTGTGGTATCTGCTATGGAAAGAAAATTATTGCTTGCACACACACACACACACACACACTATATATATATATATATATATATATATATATATATATATATATAATCAATTTTAGAATATTAAAACAAAAACATGTTAAAAATCGCTACACAATTACAATTATGCTTCAACACTACAAATGTGTCTCTTCAGGTGATGTTAAACTACTGGAAAGTGAACGATTATTTCATTTCAAAAGCAGAATAGTTCCTCTTTTTTTGAGAAAAAAAAACAGAATAAAAATAGTCTTGTGGGCTTTGCCATGATTAACCAATCAAATGTGACATATGCTAAATTCAAACTCACCAAAAAAAATTTTTAATATAGGTCATGGCACGAAGTTGTCTGCATATAAATCCTAGACAATTTCCTTATGGACAGATACAAGTTGTTATATTATTTCATAAGGTGTATAGGTCAGATGTTCAACTTTCCTAATAAGTAAAAGCTAAAGAGGTAGGGAGGTAATTTAACACAATGCTTACATAAAATTTTGTATTTGATAAACAAAAGCCCCCTTTAAGAAACTGGTAAATTATATATATATATATGTTATACCATACCTATGGACTATCGGGTATGTCCCAAGACTTACAAAGGCAATGGAGTGTGCTGTATGTTGGATTTCACCTTGATTCACTTGTGGTTCACCTTGGCTCACTTCTAGCTCGCCACTAGCAGTTGATTACTTACTACACACCATTGGCGAAACTTTTATGTTTCTGTTATAAATATTATCGTTCAATTTCCAACCTTCGTTTTAGTTATTCTTATTCAATAACCTTTTCCTAGGTTACAACAATATGTATATATATATATATATATTTATATATATAGTGTAAAATTGCATACCATATATATATATATATATATATATATATATATATATATGTAAGATTGCATACCATTGTTCATACCATTGTGGCAAACACATGCATTGCTAAGAGTTTTGTGGTAAAACCAAGAATGTGATATAATCCATTTACGTTTTGATAAATCATATGCTATTTTTATTTTAGTTTTAAGATATGCTATTTTTTGGGATAAAACGTGTGTAAATATAAGAGTCAACACTGAGGTCAACCCCAAGTAGTGACAATCTGTTTCCTGCTTGAACACAATTTTCAGGCCATCAGTCAGTATTGATATCAGTGTCCACTCTTATATAAATGTAAATATACATATATTTAATATATATTTACACATATTTATATCCACTCTGTTCCTGATATTGAGCACTTTAACCCATAAATATAGCATAATAGCATACCTTAAAACTATACTTTTATCATATAGATATATATTATTGAGCAGTAGGGTTGGTCCGATGCAAGGCTTTTTCTCACTTTAAAAAGCTTCAAGCACAGGTATTACTTGTTACAAGTATAATCATTGGAGGATCTGTGTTTTTACAACATTATGGTTGTTTATGGATGAATAAGGCACTCAAACTCAATGAAAGTTAATAACAATGGAACAGAGAGTATTGTCCACTTTTCCAAATACATTTGGTTTTCTTAGCAGTTCAAATAGATTCTTGTCTATAAGACATAAGAGTCTGTTTTAGACAGAAAGTGGTATATCTGTGAATAAGGTAAAAAACTGAAGGAAATCACTCACTGATATAAATTCACCTTACCCTTAAGTTTTGAATCCTTTAAAAGACGTGCACACTGGTAAAGAACTTCCCTCATTTCTGCAGAGTTGATAAATTTCCCATTTTTACAGAGCATATCAGCTGCCTGCATGACACCTTTCCTGGTAGAGCAGAACTAAAATCAGAAAATCAATTACCAGTAACAGAAACTAGAAGTCAAACTATTGAAAAGATTATGATCTTGCCTCATAGATAGGTGTAGATTTCCTTCTAGCACCAGAAGTTAGTGTTCAAATACAGCTAAATACCTACAAATTTGAATGCAGATTTTGAAAGCTGGTAGGCTCTCCCCACTTTGAAAATTGGGGTAATACATTTTCAAATTCCCATTTGGACTTTAGTGGAACTAGTTATGTGTGCTATTTACATTATTCAGACTATTGTCCTCATCTTTGTCACCATATTTGTTACAACGTTTCGGCCGTTGTACGCTCCGACCTTCTTCAGTTAGTTGGAATGTCGACCATGGTTGCTGAAGACATAATACCCAGAAATTCATACAGATGTCCTCAAGGACACATGGTACAGTGGATAAAGGCATTGGTTAGATCTAGTGACAAGACCCAAAGAGTCTGAGTTCAATACTTGGTTAAGGCAGTGGAGAACTTGGAGAGGGGAATTAACAGGAGATAACTGATAACTGGCATCCATTAAACATGGCACATGGAATTATATCAGTCTACCCTAGTGAGTGAAATAAAGGGTTCAGTCTGACATTCCAACTACCTGAAGAAGGCCGGGGCGTATAATGGCCAAAACCTTGTAATAAATATGGCGACAAAGAGAACAAAAGTCTAAATAATGAGAATAGTGTACATAATACCTCATCTCAGAAATATAGATAGTTATGTGTGATTAAAAAAAATGGCACTTGATATATTAGTTACTCATTTTATGTTTGTATTCTTACTAAATATTGTAAATTTTATATGAATTCATTAAATCTTTTAATCTTATTGAACAATATAGATTTTATCAGATCCTAAAATAGTGAAGCAGTGAGGTGACACAATTTAACTGTGCCAATGGTTATTTTAAACTTTCTTTATTTTAAATAGTGTAATGTTTGTTAGCATAAAAAGTACAATTGCCAAACCAATTTTAAATTCTGTCTAAAACTGCTTGCTTTGACTTCAAAGGAATGCTTTTGAGAAAAGCATAAATTTACCTTTTTAGATTGTATCCCATTATAAAGGTTTTGTCACTATGGCTGATTGTGGGCCTTAATGTAGCAGTATATGTTATATGTATTTCCTTTGTCAAAGCTCCAGATGTAGCCCTATGGACACTTGAACTCCACCCTTGTTGTGAAGAACTCCCAAGCTTAAGGTTGTAATACTGCAAGCTTATCTTAGCAAATGATGGATCCCCAAGATTGATCAAAGTCTTAGGATAATGACAAAGATCAGAATACCTTAACAAGATTTTAACAAGACATTGTTTATTTCAGCTGTTGGTTACATAATTGTTTCAAACTAGAGACTTCCTGTCTAATAAGAGACAATTGTATGTAGTAGTCTGAACTCTGAATTGCTTGTATACAATTGCCATTATGATAGAAAAACAGCTGTATGAGTCAGTCTTCTCATTCTCCCATTTTTCATAATCTGATGATCAGTTCCTTCATTAGGATCTACTCTTCTTGTGCCTCTACAGAACTATTATTTGCTCTGCTTTGCTACCAAAGTTGGATTGTGACTTTGTTTAGAAAACACATGGCTGGCTCACTTGATGAAGTCTAAATAACCTAATTTCCAAAAATTCCTTCTTCTTATAAAAACCATTATCACATATATGAACAATTCAACAACTTGTTGGTCAGGTTGATCAATTTTGTTTTTGGAAAAATCATTTCTTTGAAATTATTTTGCTTCAGAATCAATATGTGTTTTAAAAATTTTTTTCACTTAATTTCTAAATTTTAATAATTTTCTTCTCTTGTTATCAAGAAATATTTGATAAAAAAATTTTAAATACTTTAAGACTTTTATTATCACAATCAACACTTTGACTTTATTAATGTTAATTTTTAAAATGTCGCATTTTACATCATTATTTCTTTTATTAGTTTTTAGAAATGTAGCATATCTATTTCTTATTATGTTAAAGTGATTTTTTGTATATTACAGCAAAAACAAATCTGCTCTGTATCTTATATAATGATAACAAAAAACTTTAAAAAGAAAGAAAAGTTTATAGTGCATTATAATAAAGAGTGCATTACTTTATTATATAATGGCATACATGATTTTATCATACATTATGTGTGATGAATTCATAGTTTTAAAGGCCTTTTTAATCTTTTATTATAAAAAATTTGTAAGCGAAAAGATAACTATTCATGTCACTCTTTCAAAAACAATTTCAAAATTTCATTTTTTCTTTTGTTTATGTAATTCTAATTTAAATTAATATCCAACCAAATATATAAACTAATATCAAATGAAGGATTATATGTTCCTGTGTTAGAATCATATTAGTTCATATTTCCCCAATTTTTCAAGAAAAATTAGAAACTTACCACTAGTGTTGGCTTTCCTTCAGAGTAGGTTGCAATAACATTATGAAGTTTATAACGAAGAGAAATATCAAACTGAAAATCACTTGTCCTATCCAAACAGGGATATCCCAATACTATTTTCTTCAGTTTCACTGGACGTTCACTATCATCAATGCTTAAATAAAAATATTAAGAAATGAATTACAAAAGGCAAACAAATAACATATTTATAACTGCAGTACAATATGGATTTTGTTAGGAATTTTGTTGATTCTCAGTAGTTTTAATTTTTCTGTAACTTTTTCTTTGGTTTAAGTTTAGGATTAAACTCTCTAAAATAAATGTCTGACAAAAAATATCCCCAAAGATTTAGCCATTAAATCTTTTAAGGTAAATATTATCTATCAACTTAGCCCAATTAATCAATTTGATAGAAAAAAATTGTAAATTGTAAATCAATTATGGAACTATACTTATAAGTCAAGATACTGTTACTTTTCACTGTTGTAAAAAATTAGTTAAACTTAATTTTTCCTGTTTTATTGTTCATCATTGTTATCTTAACATTTTTTATAAAGGTCTAAACCTAGCAAATTCTTGAGTTAACATCAAATAATTTGAAATGATCCAACATTATTTGGAAAATTACTTTAAAGAAAAGAAAAATTTCTGAAGTTTAAAAAACAAAAACAAAACTAATTTTTACCACATAGAACAGAATAAGTAAAACAAAAAAAATTCATTAAAGAACTGATTTTCATCTTGCAAGATTTGTCTCTTCAAACAGTACATAACATTGACATCTACTACTTTTAAAGATGAAAACACACAGCACAAACCATTTTTAAAAAAATATTCAATCTTCATTCTAGGCTTATAAAAAAATTTAGAAAGCTTTGTATCTAAAAAGAAAGAATAGTTAAAAGAAATTTCATTTTTAGTCATATAACTAAAAACTTACTTATAACTTATAGCTGGCATATTTGGTTCTCCAAGCCACTCAGCAATCTACAAAAGAAAAAAAAGCTAAAATCCAAATCAATAAAATAAAAATGTGAAAATGTAAACATTTCAAAAGTTACTGATATCATTTCTAATCTTTGAATGAATCAGTTACTTCCAAGATCCATGAATTCCAGCAGATTCATATACAATGACTCAATTCCACTCCAATTTAACATAATAGCAATTTTCTAAGCCTGGCTTAGATGTGGCACAAGGCCAAAAGTATGGGACACCCAGTGAGGATCGAACTCACTACTCAGTCGTAATTGATCTAGCAAGACAAGCTTTCTAACCATTACACCACATCAAGGTGCCCACTCCAATATAACATAATAGCCATGATCTTCTTGCCACTGACTTTATCAATATGGAATATTAATATTAATATAATATTATATAAGTAGAGATGAAACTTCAGGTGAATATTATAATAGTTATCACCTGAAGATTCCTCTATACTTACATATAACTTTTAAAATGTATTTTCCCATTTAATCTGTAATCATAAAGTGATTTTTGGAGAAGGTTTTTAAGTGTAATTTATATGATGAAGATTACAGTAGAGACACAAAGTACAAATAAATTAATAGTTATTAATTTTAAAAATACATATTTTATTGAACTCTCTTACTTGAAAATAATTTAAAACATGAACCTTATGTACAAATATTATTTTTCTCCTTCAAGTTTATAAATTTTTTGGCGAGATAGGAGTTTTATTGGCTTCACAAACCTAGGAATCATCATAGATCAAACAGCGAATGATAGTCATGAGATCAGAGGTTGGATAGGGACAGCAAGATCTGCACTTAGGTCCTTTATGCCCTGTGAAAAGGCCGTGCTTTTCACAAAAGCATTGTTGAAGTTCTTGAAGACCCTAGTGTGGATGATGCTGCACTATAACTGCAAAAATTGGCCACTAAAAGACACTGATATTAAGAAACTCATGTCTTTTGAGATATCATGCCACAGGTGGACATTGTACACCAAATGGACAGACCACAAAACAAACATGTCAGTCCTGGAGGAGATGGGAACAGAAAGGCAGTTGGTCACAGTCATATGGAAGCAAAACTGCATACTTTGGCAATGTCACCAGAGCCCAGAACCTCTGGACCCACATCCTGGAGGCAGATATTGATAGCAGGAGACCAAGGGAAAGACCAAGGTGACGTTGGGCTGATGGTATCAGAGATTGGACAAGTATAATGCTGGTAGAGTGCACGGCCATGTTGTAGGAAAAAGTAGAGAGCATTGGTACCATTGTTCATGGACCCCAACAATGAGGATGGAAAAAAAGCAAGCAAGTATTAGCCCATTGAAATATTAGTGATTATGTTGACCAATTTTCCAAGAACCTGACCAAAATGTTGGGCTTGATTTTCCACAAGCCAATTAGAACTCCATGAGATTCATGTTGATATATACCCAGATTACCAGCTTGTAATGAATTAAGAAATGAATTAACAAGAAATATACATTTTTGTAGGCTTTATTCAGTTAAAGAAAAAGCCAGCAGAATTTTACTACTCACCAAGGGCAGACAATCTATTAATTTCTGGTCAAGACATTTATGTGAAACTTAT